TCACACTAGTTCTTAAGGCTAGTTTTCATTGTCTGGGATTTTAGGACATTCTCTTGCTGGAATGCAAAAATAGACACGTTCCCCTTAAAGATTCGGTGGCCTGCTGGAGGCTACGGAACAGGACGTGGCGTTGGAGGTCTGGGCTCAGCTCCCAAGGGCAGATCGCCATCTGTTCCTCTCGTTTTAACAAACATGAACTAACCCTCAGCAGACCCCGTGCCATGTGCTGGGGGCTCTGGACAAACAGAATGGGTCCCTTGCAGCTGGGAGGAGTGATGAGTAACTGAACCAGCAATTCCTAGAAAGCATGACAAGTGCTGAGTGGGCTGGACATCTGTGCAAAGAGCCTCGGGAGCCCAGAACCAGGGACCTGGCTTGTGGCCTTGGGTACGTCATGTTCCTTCACTCGCCTCCATTCCCTAAGCCAGAGAAGCATTCTCATCCTGCAGGTGCCTTGCTAGCCCGGGCTAGTGCTCAATAAATAGCCACCGCCTCTCCCGTTCTGCATGGGAGCTCTCGGATTTACAGAACACAGCCTGCTGCATGGTGTAGCCCTCCTCCTTGCCCTGTGCGTATGCTCGGAGACTTCCTTGGCCTCTTCATCTCTGCAGTGTGGAGTACCCTCAACATCCTAGCTCAAGGCGAGATAGCACGTGGACATCTTCACCAAGTCCCCTTTGCTGCTGGTCACTGGGTTCCAGGCGGTACCCCCTTTGGCCTGAGTGAGTCAGGCAAACCTCAGCCCTTTCTCGAACCCACGGGAAGTCCAATCACAGCAAACTGTTTTTGCTGTATTCTGAGGACTGTATGGGAGATCCAGGAGTCACACACAGAGCAGTCACCTTGGGCTCCATCCAGCCATCTTCCATCTTGATCACCCATCCTCTCCTGGTCCATCCCAACAACCCAGGGAATCCACTTTCCTCCTTCTCCGAGGCCTGAGCACCACTGAGCCCAGGGCCCTGGGAATGCAGCTTCTATTCCCCTCCACGCAAGGCCCGTCCATCTAAGAGGGATGCCCACTGTCAGGCAGAAGCAATTCTCTTCTCTCTCTCTTCAGTTCATTTTATACTCATTAACAGCCCTCTGAGATTAGTGCAATAATTTTTCCTTTATAGATGAGGGAGTGGAGGCTAAGTGCTGAAGTGCCCTTGCCCAAGGTCACGCAGCTCATGAGCGCCAGAGCCTGGCTTCAGGCCATGCTCTGTCTGGCTCCGCGGTCCCTGTGTGTCTGAGGACAGCCAGCCACCGGTGCGGCGGAGGGAACAATGACTGTTCCTGTGCCCTGGCCTCCAGCTCTGGGAGGAAGTCTCCGTGCTCGGTGGCAGGCGTGCAGCATCTCTTGCCCTCTTTGAACAGGTGCCCCTGCCTGCTCCTTCCTTTTGGAGAAGCAGAGGTGTTTGCGTGCACACCTGCACAGGTGAGCGAGGGGGAGAGTGCTGTAGTAGCCAGAGAGCAGATGAGAGGACAGGGCAGTGGTCTTTGCCCGCTGCAGCGACCCCAGGCTCCTGAAGCTCTGGCCACTCCTGCCTGATGGTTCTGGGATTTCTCACAGTATCCTCGCCAGGCCCTCCCAGGCCCTGATGGCTGTGACATGCCCCTTGTTCGTGTCCTTCCCCTGGTTCTAGTCCCTCAGGGTGTCACAGTGCAGATCAGACACAGAATCACAGGACCCTCGTGAACTTCAGATTTTACCATGTGGCTCTGAGCACCCATTTCAGCTCATAGACCTTCGCTTTCCTCTAGGGCAGTGGTTCTCAACCTTCCTAATGCCACGACCCTTTAATACGGTTCCTCATGTTGTGGTGACCCCCAATTTCATTGTTACAAATTGAACATAATTAAAGCATAGTGATTAATCACAAAAACAATATGTACTTATATGTGTTTTCCGATGGTCTTAGGCGACCCCTGTGAAAGGGTCGTCTGACCCCCAAAGGGGTTGTGATCCACAGGTTGAGAACCGCTGCTCTAGGGTGAGGCAAGGACCAGGCTGCCCTCACAGGTCATGGTGAGACGTACAAAACAGGGCATCCATTTGACTGGCAGTTGCTGAGGTCCCCTCTTTGGGTCTCAGGCTGGGCATGGCTGGAGGGGGAGCAGAGATCATCTGCTCTCAGGAACTTACTTTCCACTGGGCAGAGGCAGTTTCTAAAAATCTGTCACAGTGCAGCCCTGGCTGGGTGGTTGAGTTGGTTGCAGGCTGGATTCCTGTTCAGGTTACAAACCTATGTTGTGGGTTTCCCTGTCAGGGTACATATGGATCGATGTTTCTCTCTCACATTGATGTTTCTCTCTCTCTCTCTCTTCACCTTCCTCTCTCTTGAAAAGCAATAAAAACATATCCTCGGCTGAAGATTAAACACACACACACACACACACACACACACACACACAAACCTGTCACAGTGTAAAATGATTAACATATAAGGAAACAGTTAACAATATGAGAAAGCAATAGCCAGACGTCTGCCCAGAAGTGCAGGGGGGAAGCCTTCACAGCAGAAGCAAGTGAAGGGGTTGAAACACCAGGGGGAGGAGACGGGCAGCCAGCAGAGCAGAGCAGAGGAGAGAGGGGGAGGGGCGGGATGCCCTTCCCCAGGTGCAGGCACAGAGCCTGCCCACACCCTTCCCAGGCCCCTCTGCCAGGCACGTCTTCTTACTTTGCACATTAGGTGTGGGGACAGACGGACACAAGTTCAAAACCCAGTCTGCCATTTGCTAGTCTCGCTACTCTGTACAAGTTCCTGGACCTCCCTGGGACTCAGTTTATTCGTCTGTAGAGTGGGCTGGCAGTCCCTCTCCTATGGTGTCACACGATGATGCGGATGACAGAACTCAGCACTGTGGCTGCTGGCCATCAGGGAGTGTCTGTTTGTTTTGTTTGTGCTTTCAGCGAGTATTGGAGATCCTATAATTATATGTAACATTATATGGTATATCTTAAGATATCTGACAAAATGGGGTGTCAGCTTTGGACTTCAATGAGGCTTAAATGTTCCTCTTCTCAGTCACTAATGAGAGGGAGAGGGAGCCTGAGGGCACTCACCCCCTCAGGGCCGGGCATTGGCTTTGAAAACCCACCCTGAGGAGGAGTGTTCCATGGGCTCTGAGCAGGGGTGGCAGCCTCCCTGCCAGGGCCGTTCTGGCCTCTGGACAAACAGAAAGGCTCCAGCTGGGCGAGCTGGTGGGGATGCCCGGGGGCTCCCAGCAAGCAGCCTCTCGCGGTCCCTGTGCTGGCACATGGTCCCCGTGCCAGCGTGAGCTGTTAAGCCAAGCAGCAGCCGCCGCCACACCGGATCATAACCCCCCAGCCATGGGGACCGCACTTTCCACCTTCTGTTCCACGTGGGCTCAGCACAGCGGACCTTCAGCAACAGCTTGTTCAATGTCACAGTTTCAAAGTCGCCCGCTTGCTTTTGGGAGGCTGGCTCTCCTTTACACAGAGGACCCGTGAGCATGGATAACTGGGCTGTAAGTGTGACCGTGAGCTCCTCCATTGAGCTGGGGCCAGGCTGCCCACTGTCCCCAGCAGTGAGCGAGCAGGTCTGCGCTGGCTTGCCAGGCTGCTGACACGTCTGGGTATCCTTCTCAAACGAGGAATGTTTTGAAGTGGTTTTGGTAAGGCTCTGGCACAAGTCACAGACATTTCAGGACAGATCAGGAAACTCAGGGGCATCAAGACCCCTCTCCCCCTTCCTATGGCTGCATCGGTGCAGAGGCAACCTTACCCTATGCTGTGAGGGGACCAGAGAGATGCTAGGATCCATCATTCTGCATAAGGATGCTACCCTGCACTGTCATTTATAAGACATTCAGAATGGATACAGCGTATGAAACATTGTTATTTTTATTACTACTCCTATTACAGCAAAAGAAAAACTGTCGTGCATGGAGTGTGTATTAAGTTCCAGGTTCAATTCTAAATGCTTTGCAAGCAGCATCTCACCTGACTCCCCCTTTTCCTCTGAATGAAGGTGGCTACTATCATCACCATTTTACAAATAAAAAAGAACAACGACCCATAGATTACATAACTTGGTAAAGTCCTTTGGGGGAACATCTATGGATTCAGTCTCCAGGCAGTGTTAACTGCTGTCAGAGAGGCTCTGACACGGAACCTGTGGGGCTGCTGATGACAAACGAAGTTCTGTTTCTACTCTAATGAATGCCTAAACCTTAAAATGAGCTTTGCTTGTGGGGATAGAGAAAATGCATTCATTTGTTATCATCTGTTTTGTACAAAAACATCTATTTCATTTGTATAAATTACGAACAGAATATTCATAATGAAATAATTCAGAGCTCATGTTCTAGAGGGGGGCATGGGAGCAGGGTCAGTGGGAGGGATGGAGTGGGAGACAGCCCGTGGGTAAGAATGCATGGTCAGATCTGTGTTTAGAATGATGTCCCTAGAGGGGCCTGTTTGGGAAAGGAGGACAGGAGAGGAGGAGGTTGAAGGCTAGGATATGGTGGGTTGCGTTGTGAATGAAAGGAAGGGAAATTCCAAGGCGCAGTCACCGGGTCGCATGCCCAGCATGTGCACCTGTGTGCGGGTAACTGGAGAGAGGGGCTGGTTTCCCAGGGGAATGGATGGGGCTTCATTGAGGGCAGGTCAGAACTCCTGCAGCCTTCTCTCTTAGCACATCCCCAAAGTGCTGGGTGTGCTGTGGGTGGTATCCAAGATGGTTTTCCGTGGTACCCTAATGAACCCTTAAGAATTTAACAATTTTGCGTTTATTTTGATGGCTAATGTTTATTTACAGCAGGTGATTTATGTTTCCCCTTTTTATATGGTTATGATTTCTTTTAGATGCATGTATTTAAGTAACAAAAAGGAGTTTGATTTATAGGAGCATAAATTGTATTCTATGCGGCAAAACCCACGAAGCAGTGGCTGACTGGCTGCGATAGGCTAGAAGAGCTGCTCCCCACTGTTCTACGGGACCCCCACCCCACCTTCCTGACAGTCTCCTCTTGTGTCTTGCTTGTGTGCGCAGACCCAGTGCACGGCCCGCAGAACGTGGAGATTGTGGACATCCGGGCCCGGCAGCTGACCCTGCAGTGGGAGCCCTTTGGCTACGCGGTCACCCGCTGCCACAGCTACAACCTCACGGTGCAGTACCAGTACGTGTTCAACCAGCAGCAGTACGAGGCTGAGGAGGTCATCCAGACCTCCTCCCACTACACCCTGCGGGGTCTGCGGCCCTTCATGACCATCCGGCTGCGGCTCCTGCTGTCCAACCCCGAGGGCCGGATGGAGAGCGAGGAGCTGGTGGTGCAGACAGAGGAGGATGGTGAGTCAGGGAAGCACCCTTACTTGGGAGTGGGGGATGTTGGACCTGCTACAGGGCCATGCCTGTCAGTTCTGAGGTGTTTATTCTTCCTACTTCTGTAATCTCCCCTCTGCATCTGCTCTTTTCCAAGGTCTTCAGTGCAGACTATGCATTGCACAACTCCAGGGGGCGCTGTTCCCATAGAACTTGACGTTGTACACAGCTCACCTTCATGACAAACCCTTCCTGACTCCCTGGAAATTGTTCCTTGCAGCCATTCTCCTTGCAACCCCTGCAGACTGTACTTGTAGGTAAAAGCAGCAGTGGGGACTCAGCCTCTGTCACCTTGACCCCGCCTTCCTGCTTGCAATGAACCTCAACCTTTTGTGGGTCCAGCTCTCCCTGGATCGGCTTCTCCAGGTGATCTGAGTGTTCTGCTTCTGTAAACCTGTTCCCTTCAGCCTCCAACACGGGCTTCTGCCTGCAGCCAGGAGCTGTGGCCCTGAGCTTGGCCCCTGATAAAGCCTCCAGACCTTTCCCCAGACCTGGCTCCATTGTTTCACAAATGCGCAGCCCCTCCCCCAGCAGGTAGAATAATGCCGCATCTGAGAAGGTGGACTCTTGTTAAGCAACACATAGGACACGTTGGTTAACCTCTCAGGGCCTAGGTTTCTGCATCTATAACATGGAGATAAAAATATCTCCAGTGCCTTCTAGGTTGTGCTCATAAAAAGGGATGGTATATAAAGAATTCAAATAATGCCCAGCAGATTGTATGTTTTCAATAAATGCCGCTGTCACATTTGCACTAAATCACAGGGAAAAAATATTTATTGGCAAAGGACCTTCTAGCACAGCAACCCGGAAACCAAACATCTGCCCTAGGAAAGCTCCCCAGAGTTCTAGACAACGACCTCAGCTGGTGTAGAAAAGGTTACCCAGATGCTCAAGGAATGGCAGTGTGGCCAGTGCCTGACCTGAGAAGCAGAGGCAGGGCAAGGATGGATTAGTAACTCGTGGCCATAGGTTGCTAGACAGGGAGGAGCCAGTGTTGAACGAAACCCAGCATGAATATTCAAGACTCAGAAGATGAATGGTAGGGCTTGATCCAGAAGCAGCTCAGGATGTTTGGTTTTTGTCCAGATGCTCTGCCCACTTTGGGCTGCTTTTGGAGGGCTACCTGCATATGCAGCAGCAATTCCCAAGTCCCTTCTTTAAGCCCTGCTCCAACCTCTCCTTTTCTCCTCCTTGTCACCCGGGAAAAAAATTCACAAAGCCTTTATCAAAACAACGTGAGTACAGCAGTGCTTTGAAATTAAATTTTAATTAAGCAGCATTAATAAAACATTAATTCCTACTCTGCAGAGATGTGTGGACATCGTCATATTAAAAACACCAGCACATGAGACACCAGTCCTTAGTCTTATTGCTGTTCCTGTGGTCCCGCCTCGGGAGCCACTGGGCTGAAGGAAGGTCTCAGAGAGCACAGGACCCTCTGTCCACCAGGATTAGGTTCCATCCCCTGAAGAGGGGCTCCCGTGGGACTCATTCATCTCAGGACAGGCCGAGGCTGGAGCCAGGCTCCAGTCCATGACCCCCCTCAGGAAGCCAAGGAGCAGCCTCTCGCGTTGAGCTGACTGGACGCATGCTGCTTTTGTCCCTGCGACAAAATTGTCTTCTGGGCAATTTGCGGGTCTGTCATTTCAGCTGAGGGCCTGCAAAGTAATCCACCGCTGGTGAGAGAAGCTCATGGCCTCGGAGCCCTGCTGCTTCATCTTAGATAGGAGACTAAACAGGCTTTTTATTTTTCCCTTTTCCACAAAAATCTCAGCCAAAACCACAGCTCACTTATTTGGTGGTTCCTTCTCCATCTTTCATCAGCCCACAGCCAAGTGTGTTGAAAGATGAAGACGATGTTGGTGGTGGTCTTTGCGGCTGCCATTAACTGAGACCTACCCTGCTCTGGGCTCTCAGGGGCATGTTATATACAACGACTCACACCCAGGATTTCATTTGAAATGTTTCAAAGCTATAGAAAAATTGAAGTAATCAAACAAAGACCCCTAAACCCTTCACCTAGATTCAACATTTGTGAACACTTTGCATAAATATGTATGATACGTATGATAGGGAAATCTTTACAAAAATGCATGTGATATTTTTTTACTGTTTAAAAAGAAATGGCAGAAATCATGACACGTGACCTCTGAACTCTTCGGCATAGGTGACCTAAGGATAAGGTCATTCTTCTACATGTCCACAACATCGAAGAGCATCTAAGAAATTTAGCATTAGTTTAAAGATAATCAAATAGACAGCTCCAGTAAGTTAAACCTGACTTTATGTGACAAACCAGCATATGAGATATTTTTTGGCAAAAATGCCACCTGGGTTGGTGGTGTGTACTCTCACTGTGCCATGTGTCAGGGGGCCCCCCTACCAGTCGCTTAGGTAAGATGGGGACCACCAGTCCCGCCACTGTAAATGCACTCCCCCTTCCCCTTGTAAATCAGCTAATCTGTGCAGTGATATTTGAGGTTCTGTGACTGTCCCATCCCTCTAGAACTTTTCAGCCAGTGATTTTAGCACACCTTCACAATCCTGCCCTGAACCATTTATTGCACTGGTATTTACAAAAGGGTGAGTTTTGAATGTTTCCCTCTACATTTATTAATTAACATTCATATTTATAGAGAGCTCTTCTCTCCTCATCCCCTTCCCCATAGTTAGTATCCCTATTGACTCATAGGTCATTTTTTGACCCAATGTATTAAAATCCAGTACTATTTATAATTCTTTTCAGTGCTCAGATGGTCTCATGTATGGGTAGTGGGAGTCCCTTCGAGTTGGCTCCTGGGTCCTTCTGACATGTTCTCTTTAGTCTTCCTTGCTGCTGGCACAAAATATTCTAAACTGTGCTCATAATGTCTCGGCCCCAGGCCTGAAGTCAGCCACTCCTCTCAGGATTCCTGGGTGCTTTCAGTGCTACCTTTGCACTAAAATATACAACTTGGGTGTGCTCTGCTCGGTGGGGTGTCTTTGCCTCTAGTCTCTTCCAGTAAGTAGAGCTGGGGGGTATCATTTATCATTTTAAATCAAGAGCTCATACTGACTCAAATCCAGCCCCTCAGGAGTCTTCTGCACTTGCCCTCATTCCACTCATATATCTCCCTTTTCCCACAGTGAGAACCCTGTTTCCCAAAACCCACAGATTTTTTTTTCATTTGCTCCATCCTACTATAAATGAAATAGTTTCACAATTACAATACCAATCCTTCTAACAAACTAAGTGAGGTTAAAGATTTTCTTTTCAGTGTTTCTCTCCTTAGGCAGTCAAAACATAGTGCTCAAGGTTCCGTCTTCTCTCTACATGGTTATATTATCAATTTGATACTCAGGTTTGTTTGTGTCAATTTTGAGGCTTGCTTTCCCTCTCATCCTTTTTATTTAGTGTCATTATTTTTAATATCAAAACAGGCACATCGTTCAAAAGTCAAACTGTATAAAAAGGTGCACTCAGAGTATTGCCACCAATTCTACCTTTTCCCCCACTGTTTCTATCTACACCTGAAAGGTAACCATTTTTAAAAATATATATTTTGTATTGATTTCATAGAGGGAGAGAGAGATAGAAACATCAATGATGAGAGAGCATCATTGATCAGACGCCTCCTGCACACCCCCTACTGAGGATCAAGCCTGTAACCCAGGCATGTGCCCTGACCAGTCATCGAACCATGACCTCCTGGTTCATAGGTGGATGCTCAATCACTGAGCCACACCGGCCGAGCTGAAAGGGAACCATTTTTATTCATTTTGGGAATATCTCTCCTATAGTTTATCTTGCAAAAAAAAGGACAAACGATTTTTCCTTCTCTTATTTTTTATATAAAAGATAGCATAATAGGTGTACTCTGCATCTTCTGGTTTTGTTTACTTTAATACATCCCGGAAATCACTCCGTGTCGCTTTGTGGACTGTGTCACTCCTTTGTGGGGCCTCAGCATGTGGCTGTGCCATGGTGTATTCACGCAGGATCCTATGGACACGTAGGTTGTTCCCATCATTTGTTATGACAAATAGAACTGTAGCAAATAGCCTTGTGCACATGTTGCATGGTATTTGTGGAGATGTATTTTCAGGGGAAATTCTTAAAAGTGGGATCACTGGCACCAAAGGGTAAAGGCATATGCAGTTTGTTAGATGTTGACATATTCTTCTTTAGATGTATCATTCCACACTTTCACCAGTAACACAGATTCATTAAATCTTACCCCCAAATTGTGAACAAGGAAACAACATTGTTTTTCTTATTTTACAATAAAGAAATTTAGGCTCCCATATAATTTATAATAATTATAAAAAATTTAATTGATTCTGATTAATAATATAGTATATAATATGTAACCATAATTGATATATAAAATGATGAGTCACATATACTCCATATCTTATTTCATTTAGTATACTAAATGTACTTTAATTGTAGGGAAGACTTACATATCTCAGGAATGAGCACCTGTATTTGATATGCGTTTCCAACAGGCCTGTTCACCATGCTTCTCAGGGCACCAGAAGCCAGAATGAGGCTACATGTTGCTAGGGATAGGTGTAGATATGGGAGCATGGTGAAGCCCCTGAAGTCTGGAGAAGAAAAAAGTGAGAAGTATAAAAGGCAGTGACAGCCAGACGATAGGTAATGCAGCTCAGAGTCATTTAGTCCAAAAGGAAGAAGCTATGCACATGTTAGTATGACCTGAAGGCATCCCTCACTTAGAGCTCAGTACATTTTTGGTGTTTATACAGATGACCTTGAGATATTATAAAGGGTAAGGAGAAATGTAGTTATGGTGTCCAAATGCTAACCGTGAGCTAGGCATTTTGCCGATAGGCTTCATTCGTGCAATTGCCAAACGCTGTGACGTAGGTGCTGTTGACACAGATGTGTGGAAGAGAAACCTGAGGCTCAGAGAGTGTCAGGAACCTGCCCACGGTTACCAAGTATCAAATGGAAGGGCCCA